CCGTACGCTCGTTGGCCGACGTTGTCTTGCAATGACGTCGCTTTCGACAAGTCTTACAGGTTTTACTGCCGTTTGCAGTCTTGTCGGTGATGAGGTTGCCCCTCTTCACTATTGCGCCGACACGATGTTTTGGCATTTGTGTCGCCTACTTCACGGATGTCGTCTGGGTGTACCTGTCGGTCTACTTCGTCTCTGACGGTGCTGGTTGCCTGACTCACACCGAGCGATCGACCTTTGCGTGTTTATGGTCACGCCGCCGCGCCATTTTGGCTCTTACTTGCTGGTCGCCACCGGGATTTCTAACACCACCGGGTTTGGGAGTTTCGGTTTTGGTTCTCTTCTGAATGGTTGCCCTTTCGCTCGCTTCGCTTGTCTTTCGTTCCTGCTGCCTAGTCGCGGCCCGGCTAGTACTCGGGCGGCTGTCGACCCGCCTCGCGAGCCTGTTGACCAAAAAGTATCCCCGTTTCCCATCCAGACACGATCGGAGGCTTTCTTGAGTCCTCGTTGGAGGCTATCGTAGCCATGCTCGGCTAGAGGCTGTCGGAAGCTATCCTGGGCCACGCTCATCTACCTTGAGTAATCTTCATGCCGGGACCATCTGGGGGTAGGATATGGACATGGAGGAGGAGGATGACAACGAGAGAAGGAGGAGGAAGGACGTATCACGATGATGATGATGATGATGATGCTGTTGTTGCCGGTGATGATGATATTAATGATGATGACGATGCTGATGATGCCTGTGATGTTGATGATGCTGGCGACGATGACAATGATGACGATGCAGATGATGCTAATGATGCCGACGGTGACGATGTTGATGGACATGATGCTGTTGATGCTGATGCTGTTGGCGATGGTGCTGCTCATGCTGATGCGTATGCTGATATTGTTCGTGTGGACGATGATGGCGACGACGATGACGATGCTGTTGATGATGGTGATGCTCATGATGTTGCTTATGATGATGTTTTTTTGATGGCGATGCTGATGATGCCGATGATGCAGCTGTTGCTGATGATGTTGATGCTGCTGTTGGTGATGGTGATGATGATCATGCTGATGCTGATGATAAGTGTGGTAATGAGAGGTCGGAGGATGATGATGTGGAGGAACATGTTGAATAATATAATGATACTGCTGATGCTGTTGCTGACTATGTTGATGCTGTTTGCTGCCGATGATGCTGCTGCTGATGATGCCGCTGCTGCTGTTGATGATACTGATACTGGTGCTGTTGATGCTGATGATGACGATGATGATGATGCTGCTGATGGTGATTATGATGCTGATGATGATGATGCTGATGATGATGATGATGCTGATGGGATGAGGATGATGAGGAGGAGGAGGAAGAATAGGAGGAGGAAGAGGAGGAGGAAGAGCAGGAGGAGGAGGAACTACCCGCCCCCCCTTCCCAGGCCCTGGGGAGGGTGTAGCGGGAGGAGTACCCCCCTCCTTTGAGCAGGGGCAGGAGGGGTAGAGAACGCAAGCTAGTTAAACAACCTGCGCCCTAAAGGACTCCTGGGATTCTGGATGGTCCTCGCTTTCTCGAACAGGTCGACAGGGTCCTCTTGCATGGCCTCCAGCACCTCCTTCATGTCCTACTCGGGGAGACCCAGTCAGCGGGCATGCGCCATGTCTCCACCCAGGGTCATGCCAGGCGGACCTTAGGGGCAGCGCACAGGGCACATCGGCGGCAGAGGAGGTAGTTGAGGAGGCCCGCGGAAAACCTCCCCTTGGCAATGGCGTGCGAACGCGGCATGTTATCAGCAAGGGAAATCACCTGGTTCGGGTAGGGACCCTCGACCTGGATGATCCTCTCTGGCCTCAAAGTCACGGCCTTCATCTCCCCGACGGTAAGGTGGTCTTCCCATGTCCACCTGCCCGCTGCCAGCGGCACCCGAGTCCTGGCCTGGTTCCAGATCTCCCTCGGGACCGAGCTGACGGGCAACGTGGGGGCCATGGACTTGGACGCCTTGTGCAGAACTTTGCTCTCATGGCCTGGTGGGGCAAGGGCGACTCCTAGGCGAGCCCCAGCTTCCCAAAGCAGCCGGGCCTCCTGGTCCGACGTCGATGCAGAGACGATTCCATAGCCCCCGCAGTCGAGACCGTTCGCCCCCTCGGCGTTCGTGGCAAAGATCACGTTCGATATGGGCGCCCCGAGGTCCACGCAGAGCCCCCATGAGCTTCACCCCATGATCTTCCACTCCCTGAGGGCACCTGGTCACCGTTTCCTGAAACCCCGGCGCCCCTGGAGCTCCCCATCTTGCCTCGCGAAGCGGCACACGTGCTGAGATTGTGAAATAGGGGAACGAAGAATGACATGAACATAATGACTCGGAGGTCCGCGCGGATTTCTCGGATCCGCGCTGGATCCCCCTGGCGGCGTCTCTGGCGCCGCCCCTGGCGCGCTCCGCGCGCCAGGGAGGAGGATGGGTCCGGCGCCGATCCGAGAAGTCCGCGAGGACCTCCGAGTCTCTATATTTCTGCCATTCTTTGTTCCCCTAGGAGAGCCAGCGCCGGGCCAGCAGAGCGGCCCACGCCCAGTCTCCCCACGGGGATGGTGCGGCCTCGAGGGGGGCCCGCGTGCGCTCCTCCAGGGACAGCACGGCATCGCAGAGCATGGCCGCCTTGCGGGCGGGGAGCCCGAGCCTGGCGGGGTGCCTCTGGACCTCGTCCATCTCCTAGGAGACCTGGCCTCTCTAGATCATCAGCGGCCCGATGCATGAAGAAATCCGCGGCCCCCGTGGAGCCCACCCAGTCGACTCCCTCGGACAGCATCGCACCGTCGTCGATGTGCGGTGCTTCTCATTTTGTTTCTCTTCTCGTTGAGTATGTGAATTGATGGGCCCATCTTCCACCACCGCTACCATCTGTAGGAGAGGGAGGAGGAGGAGGAGGAGGAGGAGGAGGAGGAGGAGGAGCTCCTCATCCTCCCTTCTCCCCCGTCCTACATATGGTAGTGGTGGTGGAAAACTTGCCCATCATGAGTGCCCCTTGCTGATGGCTGGACGACTCCTCCTCCACAGCCCGACGGAGGAGGGGCGATCAGGTGCAACGGGTGCTGGGCCTTCGTTCTTGCGCAGCAGTGCAGAGGACGCCCCCAACCACACACGAGGCCAAGAAGCCTGCTGAGGCCAGAAAGGTAGGACTCCAACCGGCACAGCGCAAAGTCTGGCCTCTTCCCCGAAGAAGAACCACATAAGCATAAACTTTTGGCGCTCTGCGCGGTTTTCTTGGATCCGCGCCTGGGCCCCCCCAGCGGCGGCTTCGGCGCCGCCCCTGGCGCGCTCCGCGCGCCAGGGAGGGGGGTCCGGCGCGGATCCAAGAAATCCGCGCGGAGCGCCAGAAGTTTATGTTTATGTGTTTGTTCTTCGTCTTTTTCCTTGCAACACGACTGATGATCCGATGAGGTTGGTGCGTTCTGTCGCAGCGGCATTCTTCTTCCCACAGTGCATCCGCCGTGTCAAGCCCAGGCAGCGTGGTGGCCTTTCTGGCCAACCCGCCGTACATGCACTGATCAAGGCTGACGCGTACAGACGCCGTGCGCTCCTCCACGGTACACACCACGTCAATACGATACATCGCAGGATCACGCTCGCAGGACAGCCTCGCGACGAGCAGGCCAATTGCTAACACGCTTGGCGACGCCGCGAGTGGTGTCTATTATTGTGGTCCGCTTCCATCTCCTGCTTCTCTATGTCCTGCTTCGTCTCCTGCTCGTCTCCGCTTCCATCTCCCACTCCTCCGTCTCCTGCTCCCTCCCAGGATATGGATCTCACCCCAGGTCCTCAGGATGCTCGTGCATGTGGACACCTCGTCGGACCGACACCCCCTCGCAGGCCCGCCCGAGGGCCCCCCCCCCGGCGTGAAGCCTGGGATGCCGCGGGGCGGCGGCGCGGGCGGTACAGCACCTCCGCCAGCACCGCTGGCATCGTCCTCTCCTCCAGGGGCGCCACCTCCTGAGCAGCCCGACTCCCGCAATGATAGGGGAACGAGGAATGACACAAAGAGATAAACTTGGAGGTCCGCGCGGATTTCTTGGACCCGCGCTAGATCCTTCTGGCGGCGCCTGCGGCGCCGCCCCTTGCGCGCTCCGCGCGCCAGGGAGGGGGGTCCAGCGCGGATCCCAGAAGTCCGCGCGGACCTCCGAGTTTTATGCTTAGGTCATTCTTCGTTCCCCTGTCATGGCGGCTCGCATGGCGGCCAGCTCGCTCCTCAGCCGGGCGACCTCCTCGCCGTCGCCGCTCGGAGCAGCTCGGGAGGGGCGGGCCCGCCGGGCCAGGCAGCCCACTGCGGCAGCGCCCCGTGGGGCATCCCAGGAGCGCCCAGGCCAGGGTGGTGCGCCAGGTCTCGGCCGTCTCGGCGACACGGATGCTCACCGCGCTCAGCGAGCCCAGCAATGATGCCGCTTGCAGACGTCGGGTCCAGGAACACAAGCAGCGCGAGGGGGCTTCGGCAAGCTCAGGCGACATGACAGGAGGCGGAGACTGTACGAGGGTAAGACGTACGTCCTCGCGTGTTTGAGCATGCATGCGCGACGACACATATCTGCTCCCACTCAGACTGCCCCAACGTGTCCCCGAAAACTACCAATTACGCACTCATTGGGCCAGCGGGGGAGGGGAAAGGAGCAGGAGGAGGAGGAGGAGGAGGAGGAGGAGGAGGAGGAGGAGGACCCAGGGCCCAGGACCCAGGGCCCGGCGATGCCCTGGAGGCCGAAAGTAGGACAACTACTTCCGTAGTTGTTTTTCGGGCGTGGACAGAACCCCCGCCCTGACACGTCGATTAGTGAATTGTCCGTTGCCGGTTCTCGAGAGGGCGCCGCGGCCGTCGTTTTCCAGGTTTGCGCCCCCGAAAACGTTTTCACTGTGCACCCCCGATGTTTTTCTTCCACGGCGCGAGAGGGTCAGGGCCCCCACCTCCCGACTCCCCCTTGTGGCCTCTCCCCTGGCCCTCCCGGCCTCTCCCCCCCCCCCCCCCGCACGCCCGAGAAGGAGCCGGGCGTGGCCTCGCTGCTGCAGCGCGCCCTCACGGACGCGGGTGCGGAGGCGAGCCTCGGGAGCCTCGATACGGGGGTCGATGCAAACGGGGGTCAGCCAGAGCGCCCGATCTTGCAGGATCCTGCAGGGCCAGGGTCGCACCAACCTGGGTTTGGGTGCAGGATCCTGCAGGGTGTTGCAGGATCCTTCGCACTGACCCGGGTTCGGGTGCAGGATCTTGTAGGATTTTGCAGGATGCTGGAAGGCCTGGCTGACCCTGGTCTGGATTTACCCAGGTTAGAACATCCCCGATAAGCCGACATGTCCCTGGAAAGTGACGCTGATTGAACTCGGGGAGCAAGCAGTGACAGTGAGGAACTGTTAATCCCGAGCAGGACAGCTATTTTGCCAGCTGCTGTCTGCCCTCCTGGCCGAAGCCTTGGCAGCAGGGTGCAGTCTGGACTTGTTGTTCCGTCTCCTGTACAGAGGCGGGCAGAGTTGTGCGAACCGCATGCGGCATACATGGAACATAACAGAACAGCAAGCAGTGACGTGATGGGCAAGTTTTCCACCACCACGACCATATGTAGGTCGGGCAAGTTGTTGGGCAAGTCTTTTTCTTTTTCTTCTTCTTCTTCCTCCTCCTACTCCTCCTTCCTCTCCTGGTAGTGGCGGTGGAAAAGGGGCCCAGCAGTGACATGCGCATGAGCTCTCGTTGGTCCAGGCGGATTTCTCGGATGTGCGCTGGACCCCACGGCGGTGCCTCTGAGGCCGCCCCTGGCGCGCTCCTGCGCGCCAGGGAGGGGGGTCCAGCGCTGATCCAAGAAGCCCGCGCTGACCTCTTCATGGTTCTGCTCATGTCATTGTTCATTCCCTGATTCATAGTTGATTTTTACTCCCTGTCGTCGCCCCCGTTTTCTCGTAGTTTTGACCTCAGGGGGCCGTTTTCGGGCCCCAGGGCGGTCAGAACTGGACCCAGGGCGACAAACTACCCCTTAGGAGAAGTCCCCCAGACGAGTCTTCGACACGACCTGCAAACGTTCCCGTATGTTGCCAGGTGGATGAAGGCAGGCAGTCGAACCAGGGCCACAAGAGCGTTGATGATTTCTGTATCCTCGGGCGCGTGACGGTCGTTACCCGCGCCCCCTCCTGGTAACAGTAACGATCGAACGTAGGGGGGGAGGGCTGGACCCCCCCCTCCACATGCTGTGTTCGCACGCATACTATGGCGATCGCAGCGCACCCCCGCCCCGACGTGGTCCACCCCGCCCCAGCGCCACCGTTACCTGGGGCCCCATGCCCCCCTCGGGTACGACCGTTACAGGAATATCATAACATAATCCCGATCAAGAGCGCGAGCTCTTTTTCCGAAGGCCAAGAGCCTCATGGAGATACGAAGATTGAAGTTCATCCTAGGTCCTAAGATGGGGGCCCAACGGCGAATAACAGAAGGGCCCCCCTCCGATATTCAGGTTGTTTTTATTGCGCCTTCGTGCAAGCTGCGAACATAAGCTTTCCGAGGTCCGCAGGGACCTCGGACAATTTTCTAAACAGTGCTTGCATTGAGGGATTTCTATTTCTTATCTAGGGAACTTGGCCGGACGGTCGGTCTGGCGGCTACGCAGTCGCCGTGGTCGCCCCGTCGCCGCCTCGTCGCCGCCCGTCGATTGGGCCTGTCGGTCGGTCTGGCGGCTTCGTCGTCGCCGTCGCCACCCCGTCGCCGCCTCGTCGCCGCCCGTCGATTGGGCCTGTCTGTCGGTCTGGCGGCTACGTTGTCGCCGTCGGCGCCCCGTCGCCGCCTCGTCGCCGCCCGCCGGCTGGGCCTGACGGTCGGTCTGGCGGTTCCGTGCTCGCCGTCGGCGCCCCGTCGCCGCCTCGTCGCCGCCCCGTTGCCGCCCCTCGCGAATGTTTTATCAAACATCGAGAAGGTGCTCTTCTGGGAGTCCCCATCGGGGGAATCAAGTTGACCAAAACAGATCAATTCGAAAGTGCTTCGCTCTATCATTGATTTGTGTGTTGTTGTAAGCGCTTTCGATACATATTCCTTTAACATGATTTCACCAATGTTCCTTTTGCAACGGCCTTACGGTAATTTCTTTTGTCACGGCTTTCAGTCGGATCCTTTTTGTAACGGCTTTCAATCAGAGTCCTTTTGTAACGGATTTTAATCCAATTCCTTTTTGTGGTAACGGTTTTCTATAGGATTCTTTTTTGTAACGTCGTTCGAATTTCTTTTGCAACGGCTTTCAATATGTCACCTTCTGTAACGGCTTTCAGTTTGATTCTTTTTGTAACGGCTTTCAACCGTATTCCTTTTGTAACGGTTTTCAGTATGATTCTTTTTGGAACGGCTTGCAGTAGGATGTCTTTTGTATTGGATTTCAATCGGATTCCGTATGTAACGGTTTTCGATCGGATTCTTGTCGTAACGGTCTTCAACATAATGTGTTGTGTAACGGCTTTCGACATGATATCTTTCGCAAAGACTTTCAACCGGATTCCTCTTGTAACGGCTTTCAATCGGATTCCTTTTTCTTACGGATTTCAATCTCGATCCGTTTGTAACGATTTTCAAGAGGATTCCTTTTGTAACGGCTTTTGCCCGAATTCTTTCTGCCACGGTTTTCAATAGGATGCCTCCTGTAACAGTTTTCAATCGGATTCCTTTGTAACGGCTTTCAACAGGATTCTTTGTGTAACGTTTTTTATTGGAATTTCTTTTTTTACGGCTCTCGGTAGTTTTTCTTTTCAAACGGTTTTCGATCGGACTCAATTCGTTTTTTTTTGTTGTTTTTTGTGTGTGTGTGTTTTTGTGTTTGTTTTTGTAACGGCTTGCAATCGGATTTGTGTTGTAACGGTTTTCAATCGGATTCCAAGTGTAACGGCTTCAAGTTGATTCTCTTTGTAGCGGTTTTCATTATACTTCCTTCTGCGACGGCTTTCAATAGGATGCCTTTCGTAACAGTGTTCAACCGGATTCTTCTTGCATCGGCTTTGGATCGGATTCTTTTTTCAAGCGGTTTTCAACAGGATTCCTTCTGTAGCGGTTTTCAATAGGATTTCATTTGCAATTGCTTCCAATAAATTATTGTTGGTTTCCAGTCGGATTTTCATGTAACGGTTTTCAGTATGATTTCTTCAGTAACAGCGTTCTACCATATTAGTTTTGTAACGGTTTTCAAAGAGAGTTCTTTTTTTGCAACGGCTTTCGAGACTGTGACATTTTGCGTTGGGTATTCACATCAAAAACCGTACGTATTGTTGTATATGTTTAACAAACAGTTCTAATGCATAAGGAGCCAAACTAAATTCAAAATCAGAGTTTCGCAGGAGAAGCCTTCACAATATTTAAATTCAATCATTCTGGGCCGTCTGCTTTTTGAAAGAGCGTCAGCCGAAATTGACATTTCTGGTTGTTTCCATTGGTCATTTGCGTAAGCAGTGCCAACTTCGCTAGACTCTCTCTCAACAAACAGACGGCCCCAAATCATTGTACTAATACAATTTGAAGTGCTCTCGGGCGAAACCTTGTTTTCTATTCAATTTTGAAACGTCAGTTGAAACTTGGTGAAACACGTTACAAGGGGAATCCGAGTGAAAGCTTTTGCGCAAGGAGTCCCATTGAAAACCGCTGCATAAGGAATCCGGTGTAACGCCTGCGCAAAGGAATCTTATTGAATTCCGTTACACAAGGAAACCTTGTTGAAAGCCGATACAAAATGAATCTTAGTGAAAGCCGTTGCACAGGAATCTGACTGAGATCCGTTACAAAAGGGATCCCATTGAAAGGAGTTACAAAAGGAATCCGATCGAAAGCCGTTGCAAAAGGAGTCCCGTTGAAAGTCGTTATATAAGGAATCCGATTGAAGGTCGCTGCAAAATAATCGTATCGAAATCCGTTACACAATGAATCTTTTTGAAAACCGTTGCAAAAGGAATCCGATCGAAATCCGTTACAACAGGAATCCCACCGAAAGCCGTTGCAAAGGAATCCGATTGAAACCCGTTGCAACAGGAATCCCATTGAAAGGCGTTACACAAGGAATCGGGTGGAAAGCCGTCACATAAGGAATACAATGGAAAGCCGTTACCAATGGAATCCTATTGAAAGCCGTTGCGCAAGAAATTATTTTGAACGCCGTGACAGCAGGAATCCCATAGAAACCCGTTACAAAAAAAGGCATCCTATTGACAGCCGTTACGAAAGGAATCGTATTGAACGCCGTTGCAAAAGGAATCCGATTGAAAGCGGTTGCAAAAGGAATTTTGTTGAAAGCCTTTGCGAAAGGAATCCTAGTGAATTCCGTTCCAAAAGGAAGTCATTTTGAGAGCAGTTGCAATGGGAATCCCATTTTTTGCGAATTGTTTCTGGATATATGGTTGTTTGGTAAGCAAATCTATGTTTCTTGAATAGGTTGCAAGGTTTCGCTTGAAACTCCCTCCGGATTTTTGTTAAGCGCTCATTTTTGGCCGTCTGGCTGCATGATATTACCAATTTTTATATTATATATGTATAAAGAAAAAAGAGAGAACAATCAGACATATAAATTTCTGATGGTAGCCTCCCAAACATGAAGCGGACCAGGCATTTGGTATTGAAAGCCGTCGCACAAGGAATGTTATTGAAAGCCGTTGCAACAGGAATATTAGTGAAATCCGTGACGAAAGGAATCCGACTGAGATCCGTTACAAAAGGGACCTTATTGAAAGCCGTTGCAAGAGGAATCGTATTAAAAGCCGTTACACAAGGAATCGGTTTGAAAGCCGTTGCGCAAGGATTCCGATTGAAACCCGTTACAAGAGGAATCCGGTTGAAAGCCGTTGCGAAAGGAATTTTATTTAACACCGTTACATATGGAATCCCATTGAAAACCGCTGCAAGAGGGAATCTTGTTAAAAACCGTTACAACAGGAATGCGATTGGAAGTCGTTGCAAAACATAATCTTGTTGTAACCCCAGACGGAAGGAGTGCGACAAACATTCTCTACACAAGGAATCCGGTGGAAACGTTCTACTCAAATAATAATTGTTTCGTAATTGTTTACAAAAGGATTTCGAGTAAAGCACT